CAATCCAAAACCAAACCACATCGAGACGAAAAATCAAACCAAAAAATTTGACAAGCAAACCTAGTCAAAAACATTTATTTCGGAAAGCTTGTTCGATGTATTTCGGGTGTATTTTGTTTTGATAAAAGAAAAAAATAAATTGTAGCTTATTAGATGTATTTCGGGTGTTTTACACCTATGTTTGTTTGTCTTAGGGTTTGTATTTATTTTCTAAATCCCTGCTACCACCGTTTCTCAATGTGTGAGCAGGGGCAGTTCAATAATGTTTAACAAATTTAGAGGTCCTGAGTAAATCTCAACAAAATTTGACCCTTTATTCATAATTTTTTTTAAAATTGGCCCTTTAATATAAAAATTTTGGCTTAAACAAATTTCCAAAATTTTAGGGTCCTGGCATTTGCTCCTTTTGCTCTTGTCAAGAACCACCCCTGTGTGAGCAACGTGATTGAATTTGATTTTAGTAAATTTCGCGGTAGCAAGTAGACGTAACTCTCATATTTTTGTTTTGAATGAATGTAAAATTTTATTCAATCAAAATGCGTTTGTACAATAAATGCTTCTTGTTTTTTAATAAAAAATCAAAATAAAACTTTGAAAAACTGATTAATATGGATGCTGTACTATCGAGTTATGAGCTATCCCTCCATAACCTCGTAACTCTCATATTGAAGATGAAGTACTATATATTTAGTATTCAATTCCTTGTTTTGAATGTGGGATTTGGGATCCAAACCCTAGCTACCATTATATAAAAATAAGCATGATATTTGTCTCAACCTGTATACAATAAGCACGTTGTAAAAAAAAAAACATTGTGAATGTTAATGCATGTGTTAAAATATATCAATTTAGCTCTTTATTAGGTCGCCGGTTCTATCAATTGATTTTTGTTTGTAACGCAAAAATATATTAAATCTAAAAGGTAAATACTCAATACATTTGAAAATTCAGTTTATACAAACTATTGGTTCATATCTTTTTATTTAGACATTAGATTTTATTAAACGAAAATATATCGCTATTAGTTCTTGTTGGAACACTCGTTCGAACATGAATCAACACAAGCTGTGACTTTCTCCACATCTGTC